CCAGCTCTTTAAGCGAGCAATGACTCTCTTATTCTCAGAACCCACAGACAGAAGCTCAGGAAGACTAAGCCACCTTGCAAGGTAAAAATCAGCCCTTGCAAGTGGAGAAGAAGGAAAGTTGTCCTTTTAAAAGGAGCTTCCACACTTTAATCTAAATGTCCTGGCTACACAAATGATGCCTTAAGAAAATTAGTGAGTACTGATCTATTAATTGGTCAGTTTTATTGATATGAAAACAAAAAGATGGCCTTTTGACTTTTATCAACTCCTTTCTTCAACAATTTCTTTGTCTTCTATGAATTCAGTTTCTGAGAATTGTATTCAATTCTCATTTATTTACAGAGGCCCCACAGGTTCAGGGAGAAGGGAGAGTTGGTATCATTAGGGGAAAGTTAGTTTCCACTTCAAAGTAGGTGGGGACAGGAAATAGTGTTCTTAATCTTCACCATGCTACTATAGTTCGTGACTTCAACAGCCACAAACAGCTTCTGATTACATTTTTAAATGTATTCTGCTGGTCACCAACAACTTCCAAGTTAGCTGGGAGTGAGGCAAAGGAAAGAAGTATACAGCTACACCCTATGCTGGCTTAGTTCTGAATGGAGGCTGTAGTTTAATGTGTGTGTAGGTGTGCATACATGTGTGTGTGCACATGTATGTGTGTACATGTGTGAACAGGGAATTAGCTTTTTTAAAGAACACGAGGCATTCTAGAATTGAAAGAGTATAATTTCGTACAAATAATCGCTCTGTACTCCAGAACTCCTCAGCAATTCCCTCCTCTTTCTTTCATTTGAATAAGTTTCTGGATAGAAACCCTGGGGTTTGTTTGCTCTTGAACCTGTAAAGAAATGTGATTCTCCAAGAAATCAGAGCCGTGTTGTGGTGTTTCGTCCCTCCTCCTCCTCCCACAAATCATTCGAGACTTGTCCAGTCTCCTTGGAGGAGATGTTTAAGAGCTGACACACCACTTCACATAAAGGAACATGTTATGCTGTGCATGGCGTGAATAATTGACTGCATTTGAATTTGGGGTTTTAGGGCACTGTTGACTTAAGCAAAATAAACCTGCAGTCCAGCTGCAGCTTGAGTTTTCTTGCTTTACCCTATCCAATACTGTCTGTCTTGCCTAACAGTGGCCCTTTTCAGATCTCTCCAGGTACAAAACCTTGACCAAATCTTCAAGCTCTGTTCTGCATACACGGCTTGAACACATCTGGCTGATTTGAGCTTCTCCTTCAGTGAATATCTTCCACTGACCTAAAAGGCAAACACAAAGTGGCCAGGAGTGTATAAAAGAAGAGCTGAGCAAATTAGTAATAGAACCAACATATCCAATTCTGCCCCCGCTTTCTCATAACTAGACGGTGATTTGGAATCAAAATGTCAGGAATTTTTTTAAGCAAAACATCCCCTAAAACCCTTTTCTGGGGAGTATACACAGATAACGGGTCATGGAATTTTTTAACATATAGAATTCATAAGAATCCCAAGACTAATATGCTCATCATGAGTAAAACCTAAGTATTAATGGAATTTTCACAGTATTTTTAGCATTTGCAAAATGCTCCACTATCTGTTAGCTATTTAGGTGGCTCATTTGGCACTGGGTTCAAAAAGCCACATTGCAAATGCAGTACTTACTGCTCTGTTTGAGGCTTTACTTACTCTCTGGGATTGCCACATACTGGTTTGTTTCCTTGATCATTACTTCATTATTCAACTCTATTTTTTCTATTCCTTTTGCCCTTTGACAAAAACTGCTCACCCTTGCTTTCTCCTATATTCACATGTTATCTCTGCACCCCCTTCACCACCGATAAATCCACTCTTTGAACTATTATATTCTCATATATGCCTTGGGATCCTTTTCCTCTCTGAGTTAACGCAACCGTTTCCTGTCTAGTCCCTGCTGTCTCTGCCTATCCTGGATCTCTGTTCAGTCTTCTTTTTATTCCTGTGCTCATGATGTTGTGACTTGCACAATTCCCAGTCCAAGGTAAGCAAATTCCTCCTAACTCTAACCCTACTTTGAACCTCTTTGTTTTTTGTAGCTATATAAAAACAAAATCTCTTTCCCTATACACTCCATTTCTCTGGTCCTTTCTCTCTTGATTCCTCACTTTTCCCTATTCCCTTTGACTCAATGGCAAGACAGAGGGAAAATCAGAAGGACTGGTCAAGGCACTAGCTTTTACTGAAGCTTTATGATGTGCCGACACATTATGTAAGGAGTCAGGCATGTTCTCCTTCATCCCCGATAGGCCCTGTATCTCAGCATCCACTTCCTTCAGCTACACATAGTTTGGGGCACATAACATCTATTTCAATTATATATCCCAAATCCTAACAGAGTAGGCTTACACCATCTTTCAAGTCCCCTGGAGCCTAGAGGAGAGCCTTGTTCACAAAATGAATTAAGAAGCATTCTTTGAAATTAATTGGTAATTTCACATCACTTCATTGATCCTGGCATCCTAGTCTCTGCCTCCTTTATTCCTGTCTCACAAGTAAGGACTCCCAACTATTCCATTAATTCTCATACTGCCCAGTTTCATTTTCTTTCAGTCCTGCTTTAGATAAATGTTTGACTCTGTTTCCTGCTGCTCTACTGGTTAACTCTGCTCAGATGGCTCTCAAGCATCTTAATCTAAGCATATTACAAGTCAAACTCTTTTTCTCTTACCAATACCCGTTTACTCTTCAGGCTTTCTCATTACTGAATGACATACCATTCATTCAGTCTATAATGTTGTTAATATTGGAGTCATTCCAACTTCATTTCTCTCTTTGACATCAATCTTGTTGATTTAACCTCAGAAATGCCTCTTGCAGTGACCTTTCCTCCTCCTATATTATAGTATAGTAAAGTAAAGACTATCACCAGCTCTCTCACTAGTAGTCCATTTTGGGCTCCAAACAGCAAAGGGTGTTTCTTTCTGAAAAACAGATCTGAATGCACCATTCCCTCATTTAAACACCTCCACTGAGATTCTCTGGCCTAGAGATCAATTCTGAATTCTTGGCATAGCAAATGGAACTGTTCACCATCTGCCTTTGCCAAAATAGATGCTTAATAAATCCATCAGATAGCCCAGAGACATCTTTCCAAAGCACCATTTTAGATATCACTATGCTGTTTCTGAGTTGGCAGAAACTACCAATGCAACTTGCCTTACATGTGAACTTCACACTGGCTTCTTCCAGGATCTTTAAGGACTTCTTACCTTCCAACTCTTCTCATCTTTCAGTGCACCCTCTGTAGCCCTTATCATTGTTCCTCACCCCCACCCACATTTCTTGTTTGTTCCCGTCTGAGTCTTCTCTTAGGCTGCACCCTCTTCCTGGAGGGATTTCCTGACCTGTTGCCCAGTCACACCCTCCTCTTTTCAAAACACACCTCCTCCCCGAAGCCTTCCCCGACTAAGCCCACCTGGCTCTCATCTCATTGTTCTTTACAGATTCCCCTGAGCATTTAGGTATTTAACTCCTCTGAAATCTACTAATTCAAACTGAAGGCACTTTCATGTTCTGTCTCGCCCATTAGAATTCCCTGTGGATAGAAATTGTGTGCCTTTTATTCCACTAGAAGTGCTCCCCACCCCCCAGTGCTGAGAAGTAGCTAGTCCCTAGGCTCCATCTAGCGTAGAAAGTGAGAGAGCTACAAATATTCTTGAGTGTCTGAATGCTTTTAAAGAAACATGACCACACAGGGGCACTTCCAAGACTGAGAGAATTTTGAAACAACATGCGAATCGGCATGCAATCATTTTCCTGCAGTCTCTCATCTCCAACACCAGAAGACACAGCCTTCTTGGTGTGACATCTCCACACATATAATAGACTGGGGATCTCGTGAACTTTATTACCAACCCTCTTGCAACTCTGCAATTAGCAGTTTTATTTAAGATATTCAGGAAACCTAAAGTAGCTTATGCTTGGACTCCATGTGGGTTTGTATTCATTATGTCCCAGCTTTTCAGTTCGCATTCTGACAGGCTATTTCCTGCTAAGTCCCTGGAGAACAGCTAGAGCATCCTCTAAAGTTGACACACTGAACATGGCTAATGTTCACTGAGAACACAGCAGGGGCTTTAGCGGGGTCACGACGACACTGAAAACTGGAAGCATCTTTCATAGAGGAGTACAGACAGGTGCCACTTACTCAGGGTTGTCCTGGTCACCAACTTGAAGTGGTGGAGCTCCTCAAACATTCTCTTGGAGATCTTCTCAATATGGAAGTGCTGGAGGATGCCTTGGGCCAAACAAAAAGTGGAACAGGTGGTCAGGCACTCTCTGGCTGCAACCACCAACCCCCTTTCCTGCTTGGATTGAGCCTGTCATCCCGTTACTGGGGCTTATGAGTACTGAGCTGGGCTGTGTAATGTGCTTAACCAGGAACTTGGATGGATCAAGGGTTATAATTGACTCCATTTGTTTCCTTGGCTCCTTGGCCTCCGCTTGGCTTCTCAGAGGGATGGAGATAAGAGAGATAGTGCTACAGATGATGGGACCCCCTCCTAGAGAAAGCCACAAGGAATCAGGCATGGGTGCTGGTTACAGTTTCTGCAGCCAAGGGCAGTATTAGAAATTCCTCCTTTGCCCTAAATCTGGGTAGACTATATCCTTGCCAAACTACTGGGTTGCCCTCCTGGCCAAGCAAGCAGAGCCAGCAGTAGGATCGGAGACAGGTTGTTTGTGTAAATGGAGAAGCCACCCCTGATCCTGAACTTGCTGAAAAGCATATTTTCCTTTGGGAAATATCCACAGCTCCCTTAGCCTTCCTTTATAAAATTATGGGGAGAATTAAAATAGAGTAGGTCCTACACTCTCAACCCTGTTTGAATAGCTTTAATCAGAGTAATAGTTAACCAACCAAAAATTGCCTTGTAGTTAAGGAGCAGCATGCTAGCAGCCCTTAAATAATTCTCAAAAGATCTACAGGGGACAATCTGGAGGAAGCCTGGGTTTTTCTCTGGTCATCAAACACAGGCCTTGAGATGACCAGTAGAGGGAACAACAGGCTATTAAGATTGTATACCAAGAAGTTGCAAATCATCCACACATATCTGTAGTGTAGGAAATGCATGGCTATTAATAGTGGGCCCATTTGCTAAGGAAGCCAACAGACCAGTATCTAGTCCCAGTGGACCTGTTGCAATAAGCTAGGGAGTTAGAGATGGCAAATTGGCATGCCTAGGTATAGAACCAACATAAGCGGAGACAAGAAACCTATGTATATTCTAACATATTTTTAAGAAGTTGGAAGGACCATATTCTTTAGAGATAAAAAAGGATGTTGTGAGAAGGGGGAGGGGAAAACCCCCATGAATACTCAAACAGTACTTCTTAAAGTATGTTTCAAGTGCCATATGCATTAGCATTTCCTGCCTATGTGTTAGACTTGCACATGTTTAAACCCTACCTAAGACCTACACATCTCTGAGGTGGAATGAGGTCACTGTATTTTATATCAGCTCCTTGTGCAATCCCAAAGCCCACTAAAGCCTGAGTACTCATAAGCCTTGTGTGGGAGCCAGTAGCAAAAGGCTCAGTAAAATTCAGTATTACTTTCCAGTTGAAATCTCACCTCTATACTTGGACTTCTAGAAAATTTGGCCAGACTCGATCAGCACTAGTCTTCTATCTACAGAATGGTTTGAATGGCTATAGTATATCCATGAACAGAACGTGGCTTGCTATGGTAGTCACTGTGGCTAATCAGAAAAGGAACTGGAAATCATGACTGGGATTGTTTCTCCAGTGAGACTATAATCTTCTTGAGGGCAGGGATGGTGGTTTTAAAATTTCCTTATCCCAGAGTAGATAACATAATTCTATGAATTTAGCTTTGCACGGAATGAATAGGTTTACATATTTACTGGGCTCTGCATTATAACAAATGGCAGACCACAGTTTGGTAACTTAAACCCTGGCTGCACAATGGAATTACCTGTAACTTTTTTTTAAAAAAAGCACCAATACCCTGGCTTCATCCCAAACGAACTAATTAGAATCTCTGTGAGTAGAGTGCGGACATGGGAAAAACAAACAAACAAACAAACAAACAAAACTCTCCCCGATGGTTCTGATGTGTAGCAAGAGTTGGGAATCACTCCTCCAGCTTTTAGGTGTGAGAAAGACAACCTTGGAAAACCCTATGGGTCAATACTTAATCTTTCGCATAGGCCATGATTAAATCTGAGAGGCCATAATTACAACTGTGTTATTTTATAAGAAATTAGAAAAACTCTTGACCCAAACAGAGGATCAGGTTGAAGCAAAATTAAGGTGAGGTTTTTTTCTTCCTTCTATGCTCATGTTACAAAGAAATTAATATTGTCTTACTCACCCTTTCGAATGGTCCAAACGTGGACTTCTACCTGAGGTGGTCTCTCAGTCTCCAGTGCAATTTTTCTAGTAGTCTCCCCATCCTCCATGAACACAGACTCATATACAGGCATCGTTTCTTCTCCACAAAAGTAGCCTTTGCTGTCAAAGCCTTGGCCTGGAAGTTCTTCTGGAATCAGGAAGCAATCAGAGCTTTATTATGGTTTCTAATACTTCAAGTGGACTTCTACATTTATCTATCATGTTGTTCATAACACCACACAATCATTGAAAGGGAACAATCAATAAGAACATTGTTACCAAGACAAGAAATTCCACCCATATTTCATTTGCTCAGTTTAGGCTGTCCCTGAGACAGCCACTAAATCACAAAGGAATATATAACCTTTGGTCAAAGTGCATGTAGCCACCAAATCCATAGTTCTGCAGAACACTGGCCCACAAACCAAACTGGATCCCCCTAGTGCCATCACTGCAAAGTGAACTTTCATGATGAGGAAGCATGTAACCAAGAATAAATCTCTGTGTACTTAAAGGAACACAGGAGTTTTCAGCCCATGTAAGAATCCTACTCTGTCCAGCCTAGTGTTGCCAGGAGAGGCCCATGGAATGGGCTGACAGAGGGCCTGGCTTAACTTCCTTGATATCATTCAGGTACACTTAGAAAACAGTCATGACACTTCTTATGTGCATTTACTTGCCCAAAAGATCGATTCAAATCAGCTTGACATTTCTGAATGCTCTTTGATTTGTCTGTAAGGGGAATGATAATACTGGATCAACACCAGTGCCAAAACCTAGATGTCAAAATAGTCACCTGTATGCTATGCCAAATGAATGGTTGAGAGACACAAAAAATTGGTCAAACTCCTCAACTATGGATCATGTAATGTGTAAAATAAACTGCTGAATTTCAGCTTCTAGGCATAAAGATACCAACCCACCCATATTCCAAATTCTACTCTACCCTCCCCTTTCCTCACCACCCCCCCACCAAAAAAATGTTTCTTTTGGTTATCAGTGAGTTAAGTTTCTCTGAGGGCTTCAAAACCAGCACCCTCTTCAGCTGCATATTTAAAGTGTATACTGAAATCAGGAACAACAAAGAGAAGCCTTGGACATCCTGAAGACTTTGAATATGAGCAGGAGCCATCTGTAAGAATATTTGAATCTTTGAGGACAAAACTGTTGAGTGCTTTGGATCTATGACTCTAATTAGAAATTCACTGTTAGCCAATCAGGCACATGTAGACTAGAAGCTGTAATCAGATTGCTATTGTATGTCTCTTGCTGACCTGATTAGCTTTCCCACCCCACCACCATTTGGCATGAAAAGGACACAACCATAATCTTCTCTTGACAATTCCATGTTGGATTACTCAATTTGTGGATTATCCTAGAATCAAAATTCCTTTCTTTTTTGTCTTTCATTTTAGCAATTTGATTACCCAGTAGGCCAGTCTTTTTGGCAATATGTTAGGTAATTAAGGGATGTGTGCTAGCAGTTTTAAAATGGGGGAGGGAGGAGATGACAGAATGTACAGGGACCTCTATGTATTCAATTCTCATCTTTAGAATAGGAGCCAAGTTAATTTGTCAAACGTTGTTCACCAGCTTAATACTGGCTATGGCTATAACCGATATATGAAATCCATGATGGCACTGGAAGTACCTGTAATATGCTCAAAGTTCTCCCAGTATCCTGAAGAATCATGCTGCACCACCACTCTCTCCTCTCCAAGAGCTGAATGTACTAGACTGGGGGAATCTACAAACAACAAAACCCACTAGTGACTCAACACTGGCTGACACTTGAAAATACTGAGAAGCAAAGTTTGTCTATAGCATGACCTATGCAGCAACATCCTCCTCCATTTTTCACACTCTTCATCTGGAGGCGTGTTCTGATCACTCTATGCTCACATTCTCTTATTTCCTTCCAGGGAAGTAGGCCATGCTTGAAGTCACTTCTGGCCATTATCACTTCCCATGAGAATGTTTGTGTTCTGAGCTCCCCCAGAACTAAAATATTGAGAAACCATTCCTTATGGAAATGATGATGACTGATGAGGGAGATATATTCTCCTTAACCCAGGAAACTTTCAAGTCTTCACCAGGGCTTTTCATGCCATAACATGAAAGGTGTAATTATAGGAATTCCAGGTACAGTGGGTGCTACAGTGGATGTGAGAGGTGAATCGGGGAACCTTCAGGAAGTGGAACTCCTATCTAACCGTGTAAGGGGCCACTGATAGACAAGGCAAGGCCAGTCTCTATCAGAACAAAGGGAAGAGATTGGGTGATTACTGACACCATGAATAAGAGTGTCAATTGTTAAATCAACAACAGGAGTCACTGTGCACTTACTCCCCATGTAGGATCTCTGTCCTTAATGTGTTGTACTTATGTGAATTAACGGTATAACTAGTACTCAAACAATACTTTATACTCTGTGTTTCTGTGTGGATGCAAACTGTTGAAATCTTTACTTAGTATATACTAAATTGATCTTCTGTATATAAAGATAATTGAAAATGAATTTTGATGTGAATGGGATGGGAGAGGGAGTGGGAGATAGGATGGTTGTGGGTGGGAGGGAGGTTATGAGGGGAAAAAGCTGCTATAATCCAAAAGCTGTATTTTGGAAATTTATGTTTATTAAATAAAAGTTTAAAAAAATGAAAAAATTTTAAAAAAAGAACAAAGGGAAGAGAGAGAGGTGAAATTCATGCTCTTTATTTTTGTCTAATTTGCTACTAGAGGAACTTGCAATCACTTGTCACAACAAAACTTCAGACTGGATCACCAGCAAACTTTATCTCTTTTCCTAATCAATATAACCGAATTTAATAATTTTTCTCCACTGATTTTCTTTCCTCCTCAATCCCTTACAGTTTTGTTCCTTTTCATCTGTGTCATGTATCATTTCTTAAAAGGTCAATGATGCCAAGATTATCCCATTTCTTACCCTGATCCCATAATTTAGGGCTCTACTCAAAGATCACCTCTTTAGGGAAGCCTTCTCTGATCAATCTTTTGAAAGTACATCCTGCCTCATTCATTATCTTATGATCCTGTTGGGTTTTCTTCACAGTAGCCATCACCATTGAAAGTTACCTATGGTTTAGATTCAATTCTGTATTTTCTGCTGAAATGTAAGGACCATGAAGGCAGGTAGTCTTTGCCTGCCTTGTTCATCTCTCTATCCTTACTGTATGTGTTTTGCACACAGTAGGCAGAGATTGTTTTGCAGATTGAATGCATGAATAAGTGCATGTCCCCAGATGTTCTTCAGTTTCTTAGTATCTGGAGCAGGTGCCCTGGGCTGTGTGGATAATGAACTTTAGGCAGTGTGACTAGCAGGGATGATTCAACATTCAGACATCCATGTGTGGCCCACTGAGAAACAGATACATAGATTGAGACAGAAACTCTGTCTTTATGTGGTGCCCAAGAAACCCTCTCTCCATATACCTCAGTGGAGTGGGGAAGTGGGGAAAAACAGCTATTTTAGAGAAACCAGTTTAATCGATCAGATTCATCAATGTAGTGTCAGCTGGGATTCTATATGGTGGGGTTTTGAAAATATTTGAGAATCAATAAGAGAGAGGGAGAAAGAGAGGAAGGGGGAGGGATGGAGGAAGGGGCTGGGAGAGAGAGAGAATTGAAAAGCCCCTATTCACTGGCCTACTCCCAAACGCCCACAACAGCTGTGGTAGGTCTGGGCTGGGTCAGGCTGTGGCCAGGAGCCAGGAACTCAATCCATATCTTCCACAGGGATGGCAGGGGCCAAAGCACTTGAGCCATCCATCACTTGCTGCCATCCAGCGTCTGTATAAGCAAGGAACTGGAGTCAGGAGCCAGAGCTGATCCAGATCATGGGTATCACAATCAGCATTTTAACCACTAGGCCATACACCCATCTGTAGAGGGCAGCTTGTAAAAAGTAATTTTTAATATCTTGTCTAATTGCAAAAGGAAGACATGTTTACTATTTAAATTTAGAAAATACAAAAGAGGGAAGGAAATGAGAAGTATCCATAATCTAGTCACTTGAAGATGGTCACTATGAACATTTTGCCATGTGCTCTTCCAGTCTCCTGTCTAGTCTAAGCATATATAAATATTTCCTTTTTAAAACAAAAAGTGGAGTCACAATATATTGTTTTGTACATTGCTCTTCTTAGTTAAAAAATATATCATAGACATGTTTCTGTGCTATTAAATTTTGATTGTTACATTTTGATTTACAATGATTTATAATGGCTATATAATAAGCCACAGTACAAATGTATGAATTATCTAACTATTCCCATATTTGTAGCCCTTTGAAATGTTTCTAATTTTTCACCATTGTAAGCAGCACCCTGAAAACTCTTGTTTACCTACTTTAGTGTATGTCTTTGATTACTTTTTGAGGATTACTAGGAGTTGAATTACTTACCCAAAATTTTTAATAAACATCACCAAGCCAAGAGTACATTTATTGAAAGGGTAATGCCTATTCTGTGTCCTGTTCTTACAAATTTTGATTCTTTCTATGTGAATCACCAGTATCAATAAAATCCTAAGCACACAGTGAAATGGGATTTGGTCTGAAGGATGAGATTTCAATTTGATTGTTACATAGTGAGAAGGTTCATCTTATCCTGGGTAGTTTACGTAACTACTAGTTTTTGTCTGAATGATTGTGTTGTATTCCTTTTTCAACGTTAGGTGTTAGACCCTCGACAGAAAAGAAAATCATATTGGTGGAATTACAAGTGACACTAGATGGTGTGGGGATCCATTGAGATCACAGAGTTGGAAGTCATAATAGGTCATCATGGCTAGGTAGTCACAATGTCCATATTATCCTTAGATTATGCTTTCTTCCTACCCCTAATAGGTCCACTTCCTGATGAATTTTAACGCTCATGTTTTGTATTCCTTATCAGATAGCTCCTATTCTTATGCAGACTCTGTCCCATATTTATCTGTGAAGATGGGGCTCAAAATACTGAGGAAATTTTTGTTTATGCCATAAATTAGTACTTCTCAAACTTTAATGTGCATTAGGATCAATCACATGGGAATCTTGTTAAAATGCAGGTTCTGATGCACTAGTTCTAGGGTAGGGATCTGAGAGTCAGCATTTTTAACTAGCTCTAAGGTGCGGCTGGTCCATGGACCAAACTGAGTATCCAGGACAAAAACTACCCTGGAACTACAGCAGTGAAAGCTTCCCAACCTTTCTGCACGTCAAATGTCACCTAGGATTTAATCTTTTGCAAATTTCAAAGGCCGAGCCATGCTTCAGATAAGTTAAATCATAAACTCTGGGGATGGGACACAGGCATGTTTTAACAATTCTATGGAATTCCAACGTGCAGACAAGATTGGGAACCACTGGCCCACATGAAACTGCTCAATAAATACACATTGACTTTGTGCATGTTTGTCTACTAGTTATGAGAGGTTGCCTAAATTAAAGAAAGACATGATTTAGCTCTCTGTCTACATTTAAAAATGTTTGATTTTCATTTGTGTTTATAAAAATGCTTTGCAGAAGGCATAAGGAATGATAAATTCCTATGCCTGGGAGTGGCTAACTCATTGACTCCTAGAGTGTTGGAGCTGAAAGGCGTTCTGAACCCATCTGTTTTAATCCTCCCATTTTCAGAGAAGGAAATCGAGGCTGAGAGGTTAAGTGACTTTTTCTAGGGCACCCAGGAAAACTGATGTAAGCCAGGGCTACAATCATTGATTATCCATCTGTACTCTGTCACTCCCAATGTTATGGACTACATTTTTTTCTAGCTATGGTTTAAAATTATCATTTGAATAATTAATTTGCCTTTTTTTTTCATAAGTCAACACTTTCCATTGGAAAAGAAAAGTCAATGAGTTGGAAGTTACCAGAGTTCTAGGCTCTGGTTTAAATCATCAACTAGTTTCTCTGACTCTGGGCAAGTCACTTTACTTTATATATCTCAGCTTTCTTATATTTAAAATAGAAATAATATAATTTTAGGAATTTAGTTGAAATGGATCTCAGACATTAATTGCTCTAAACTTTTCATTGTATAGATAAGACTGATGAGGTTCAGGGTGGATATGGCATATTTTTCAAAGTCATGTAGCAATGGACCAGAACCCATTCCCTTCCACTATGACTAATTTTTCTTCCTATCTCAAAAGGGTAATATGCTTTGACTGGGTGGGCAACTGTACTTTGGTGATTTAAATAGTGATATAAATGAAAGGTGTTACTGCTTTTTCTAATAATCATGATAACCTGAATTCTCTACTATTTAGAAATTCAAGGGTAAATCTGACTTTTAGGGCTACATGGGAAGTGTAGCAGATTTAAGCATATTCCTGATATATTTCTTAGTAGCAAATTTCTTTCAAGAAACTATCTTATTAGTCCTTCAAAAGAGGAGAGAATGAAGTTCATTATTTTCAAAACTATTATCATAATTACATGACAAGTTGATTATGTTTCTGATGTTTAAAGAAAGTTAAGAAGGTCTATGTGGAGACCTCAGTCAACCAAAGGCAGGGCCTCCAACCAACGCACCTTTTGCCTTTTTACCTGGACACACCTTGCAGCACTTTCCATCTATTTTCTGAGGATACTTGCAGGGGTATCGACTGGGGCAGTGGATTTTCTTACACTCTTGCTTGGTGACATTACAAGTGCAAAGCACACACTCCACAATGCCAAATGCCCGAAGGTTTGGGTGCCAGGATTCGCCATGGGAGTAAGTCTTTCCATTGGAAACACACACTGGAAGAGAACACAGGACTGGAAATTAAAGGCTAGGGAGCTAAAATGGGTTGCCTAGGCACAGAATGCAGCCTTGAACTGCTTTACACATTAAACTTCCTCTATTTTGCCATGCCGTGGAGACACGCATACAGAGCAGTCTAGGTGACCAGAAACCAATTTGGGCTGCCATGTTCTACTGTTAGCAGCCATTCAAGTTCTTTAACAGCAGCCTCTGGATGGTCACAAAGTATTGTTTTAATGGAAGAATGAATGAACACATGAAAACAGAATTCTATTTATCCTGGGCACCTGAAAAGGAATATCTACTAGAATGCAGTATTACTATCTGTAGTTCCATAGAAGATTTGTATGGCCCAAGTGGATGTGCTCCCAGGAATGAAGATTCTCTAGAGAGATTTACAGTTCAAGGAGGCTAGATGAAAAACTACTACTCTTCCCAAGGGGCCAGTTGTTTTCTGATCCTATAGCAAATCCATCAGAATGTCAAAGGCTATGGGAGTCTGATCCATCCACATAGATGGGTATGAAACTTAATAACATCAGACCTGCTCTCTGACGTGGGAAGGAAGGTGTGAAGACAAGACTGACAGAGAAAGGATCTCAGGTAATTTGTGAAAGGATAGACTTTCATGCCTCTAATCTTGAGGCAGTTTCCTCAGTCTCCCATCGTGCAGTGGCTGTAGTGATTTGGCTCCAGCAAGTTCCTGCCTGCTCTACAGACCTCCTTCTCTGACATTTGTCGAGTGGGAACTGTAGTCACTGGCTCCATGTATGCTGAGATCCTTCTAAGAGCAAGCATCTGGGCTGCAGATCGAGGGTCCCATGAAAGGGAGGGCCACAGGAACATCCTTCCATGCGAATCAACCCAAAGCCCCCCTGGCTCCTACTGTAAGGCTTGGAGCTAAGCTCCTGGATGGGAACTGCATAAGGCTGTGAAGGGGGAGGTCTCGGAATGAGTTTCTGTCCCTTTCTGAGAGTGCTCAGACATTGTGGAGATTTCAAGCCATGACAGTGACCGGGTATGTTTCTCGTTATTCCCCACCACCTCATCACGCCCAGGAAGACCTGTTGGCATCCCAATCAACATCTCCAGGGTGAGTTATATCACTTTAGGTGGGGGTGGGGGTGGGGAATAGCCTCACTTGGGGCTTTTCTAGGAATTGACTAATTTGGCTTCAAGACAACAGCCTCAGGATGAATCACTGGACTAATTTTTTTTTCTCATCAAATCCGTTGGGTCGCATTAAGAAATATGAATGATGTTGGCTGCCATTTCCTATCCTTTGTAAAAGCTTCTAGAGCACTGGACACTCTAACTGGTCAGTCCATGTAAACATTTCCAAGAACTAAAACCAGAGAGACTCCCAACCTTACAGTGAGACAGAATAGACATTTGATACCTAAACTGTGAGGCTCAAGGTGGAAAGGATCACCCCAAGACAGGCCAGATGTGTTGTTCTTTCTCCTTCCCTCACTCATCGTTTCCCTCTCTTCCCCAGACAGTGACACTCCCTTCCACACCATGTGATCAAGTGGGAATATAGTCTGCTTTAAGAAAATTCAGGCAGGATTCAAGCTCACAGTGGCAGAGTCCTATTGCTTCTCTTCTCTGATTCTAACAAGGAACCAAGTAGATGCATTTCAAAGGGCCACATCATTAGCAAGAAAGCTAAGGACTAGGATGAGTCATGCTACGGAGCAGGACAGGCAAGATCCTCTTACACAGTGAGGTTCCTACTCCCCTAAACATTTACAGTAAAGGAACAGGCCCGACTTGATGAGAGACTTTGCAGTGAAATAGGGTGAGATCAGTTTTCTAGAAGGAAACATAGCCTTTTCCTCATCAAGAAATTCTCAAGGTGATTTTGAATCATTCAGCTGGGGAGTTGAGAGCTGGGGGTGGGGACAAGTGGTTCTCCAGTGAACTATAATAGAAAGGTCACTAGAGAACTGATGCATCCAAACTGATGGGGCAGATGAATAAATATAAACCAGCTGGAACTTCTGTAGGATACAGAGACAATCAAGGGATGAGCTTCAGCCCTGAAAATGAAGAGGTCTTGTGGAAATTATGGGATTTAGGATTTTTGAAGTCCACTTCCCTGTCATTTTTTAAGGCTTTGAAATGCTTTCAGAGCAAATGGATTCTATTGGAGGCAATTTAGTATTGGAAATGAATCTGCATGTTTACATAAACTTCCTCCCCCCAATCCCTGATACCATAAATTTGCATCATCAGAATGCCTTGGCAGTTAAAAATAGTAAATTTCAAATTGAACACAGATCAATAGTAAGTATTTCCAATTCTTCTAATACATCACCTTTTTTTTTTATTAAGGGCTTACTTTTGGATGTTCTTTTAAGGCTGTAAGTTTCAAAAGCAATTTAATTTTTTATCTGTAATCTGAAATTTACATCTAACTAGTAACAGATGTGATCAACTCGATTTGGCTTGACTAGCTTTGTTGAGATTTATAGTAGGAGTTCTTTGTAACGGATTGTTTTTCACCCATGTTATTCAATCATTTGGTTTAATAATTTATTACTTTTAACCCATTCATAGAACTGCCTTTGATTTGTTTCTCCTTTAAAGGAAACAAAACATATTTGTGGTTTCATAAAAAGGAACCAGCTGAGCTCTTGCTCTGAAGCGCTGGTTGACAGGATGCCTACGAAATTAAGAAGCAGTCAATTGTTTGATTGAATTTCTCCTCCTTCTACCCCTGCTACCGGGAGGGTGGTAGAGGTCAGAGAATGCTATGTAAGAATAAATAGGGCCACGGGATGTGTGTGGGTGCCTGCTGCAGCCAGTTGGTCAGCTGAGTGGGCTGCACGTCGGCATTAACCTGATTGGTCTTTCTGGTACTGAGCCAGGATTACTCATTTGTAAGGACAATCCCCTCATATGCTATGCATTGAACCAGAATTTCTGAATGTACGCCCAGGAATACATATGTTTAACAAGAGCCCCAGGGGAATCTGGATGTGCGGAGGTGTGAGAATGGCTATTTTTAAAGGTATGGATAAGAGCTTCAGAAGTGTCTGGCACCGAGTCCCTTTGGATATTGGGTTCCTTACTGGGAAATAAACAACCTCTCATTCTGTTAAAGACCCAAGGAATTTTCTCAAATGAGCTCCAACCCCCAGGACTGACAGAAAATGATGGAAGCTGATTCCTAAGCACAAAGGAGACTTGATTGTGCTCTTCTGGGTGCTTACAGGGAGCTCCTAAGATTCCCCTGGTGTCACTTGTCCATGCTCGCTTGTAGACTCCATGGTGAGCTATCCACAGGTGAATATGCAACATCCATGGGAGAAATGCTGGTTTCTTAGCTCTAGCCCTCTAAGGACTAGCATAGCTGAAGCCCCGATATGGAAGCAGAATGAAAAGGGGATGCCTCTTACCTTGTCCATGCTTGTGTTTGTTGTTGATGACAATCTGCACAATGGTCCCTGACGCTTGCTGGGAATCCATAAGAGCTCCCCGGTGGCTTCTGGCCCCTGGAAAGCGGGGCAGACCTCCGGCTTGTCGACTTGGTGGAGGATCATAGTGAGAACGGTGATAAGAATGTCTCTGTAAAACGACCAGAAAAAAAAAAAAACAGATCAATGAGATTACAGAGACTGCGTTATATACATTAGAAGCCATGTGATGATTCTGATGTATAATAGTGAGTATGGAACTGAACTGTATATCTACCTACAGTAATAGAAAAGGAATGTGATCATATAAAACAGCCCTGGAGGGATTCCAATTCAGTCCCATCAAGGTGGCATGTACCATTGCCATCTCACTATTCCAGGTGATCAATTTCCGTTCACAATTGATCATAATGAAAGGACTAAGAGTCAAAGGGATCACATAAACAAGACTAGTGTCTGCTAATACTAACTGATAGAATAAAAAAGGGGAGAACGATCCAACATGGGAAGCGAGATACACAGCAGACTCATAGAATGGCGGATGTCCTAAACAGCACTCTGGCCTCAGAATCAGCCCTAAAGGCATTCGGATCCGGCTGAAAAGCCCATGAGAGTATTTCAGGCATGGAAAGCCAAAACACTCTGGCAAAAAAAAATGACCTAAATGAAAGATCTCTGTGAGTGAGATCCCAGTGGAAAGAACAGGTCTTCAAAGAAGGAGGTACCTTTCTCTGAAGGGAGGAGAGAACTTCCACTTTGACTATGACCTTGTCTAAATAAGATAAGAGTCGGTGAACTCAAAAGGCTTCCATAGCCTTGGAAACTCATGACTAGAGCCTAGGGAGATTTCTGATGCCTTAAACAAGAGTGTCAATTGTTAAGTCAACAACAGGAGTCACTGTGCACTTACTCCTCATGTAGGATCTCTGTCCTTAATGTGCTGTACATTGTGATTTAATGCTATAACGAGTACTCAAACAGTATGTTTCACTTTGTGTTTCTATGTGGGTGCAAACCGTTGAAATCTTTACTTAATGTATACTACACTGATCTTCTGTATATAAAGAAAATTGAAAATGAATCTTGATATGAATGGAAGGGGAGAGAGAGAGCGGGAAAGGGGAGGGCTGCGGGTGGGAGGGAAGTCATTGGCGGGGGGGGGGGGGGAAGCCATTATAATCCATAAGCTGTACTTTGGAAATTTATATTCATTAAATAAAAGTTAAAAATAAATAAATAAAAAAAAGCAGCCCTGGAAATAAGGTGAGTTTTTCTCTCGTCTGCAGATAGGACTAGGTTCACAAATTCCTGTGGAAGAAAACGATCAAAACAGCTACAGTGTCCTTCCTGTTCTCAAGACTCTCACACTCAGTTTAAGTGTTAATGGGCCAGTGCTGTGGTGTACCAGGTAAAGCGGCTGCCTGTGACACTGGCATCCCATATGGGTGATAGTTCGAGTCCTGAATGCTCTACTTCCAATACAGCTCCCTGCAAATGGCCTGGGAAAATCAGTCGAAGGTGGCCCAAGTATCTGGGCCCCTGCTACCCATGTGGGAGACCCAGATAAAGCTCCTGGCTCCTGTCTTCAGCCTGGCTCAGCCCTGGCCACTGCAAATGTCTGGGCAATATACCAGCAGATGGAATCTCTCTCTCTCTCTCTCCCTCTCCCTCTCTCTGTAACTCAGATTTTCAAACAAATAAATAACTCTTTTTTATTATTATATTTATTTGAAAGGCAGAGTTATAGAGAGAGGGAGAGACAGAGAGAAAGGTTTTCCATCCACTGGTTCACTGCCCAGATGGCCGCAAAGGCCAGAGCTGCGCCAATCCAAAGCCAGGAGCAAGGAGCCTCCTCCAGGTCTCCCACATGGGTGCAGGGCCCAAGGACTTGGGCCATCTTCTACTGCTTTCCCAGGCCACAGCAGAGAGCTGGATCAGAAGAGGAGCAGCCAGAACATGAACCGGCGCCTAAATGGGATGCTGGTGCCACAGGCAGAGGTTTAACCTACTGTGCCTTAGTGCTGGCCCCTAAATAAATCTTTAAAAGATAAAAAGAGTTAAGAGGGCATTCTACAGTACAAGGCAGACGGAGACAGAGGCCACAAGAGAAGTATAAAGTGTGTGCAAATTAGGACGACAAAGGTTGCTAGACAGGGAGGGTTTGTGACCTGGGCCATGAAAAGTGGGTAGGCTTTTACAGGCAGAGATTGTTGAAGAATATTCCAGTGAGAGGTTTCCAAGTTGTGAAGGTGTAACAGAGAACATAGAGCCCATAAAAGGGAACGGTTGAAGGATAACATTCCAAAAGGGGGTTGGAGCCAGATCATGGAGGACTTTAAATGACAGGCTGAGGAGTGAGGACTTTATTTGGTAAGCAAGAGTGGGGGGGGGGGGGGTGGTGGTAGAAGTCTTGGAGGAATTTTTTTTAAGTAGTTAAGTAACTTGATCAGGACTGTTTCAAAGCATTGAACCGTGATGATGTGTAGCATGAACTGGTTAGGAGAAAAAGATAGAAAGTCAAGTATAGTCCGGTAAGGTGTTCTGAGACTCTAACCACAGGCAACAGCGTAAGATCACACAGAGGGCAGAGCTGCCCTAGAGAGTTTATGGATAATAGAGTTGACAGTCCACCAGCATATTAGGATGTAAGTTCAGCAGAGCTAATGACTTTGTTTTGTTCACTGCTATATCTCCAGTGCTTAGAAGTGTCCAGAATGCAGAAGGGACTCAGCTAATACTTGGTGAATGAATGAAACTACGGTTCCTAAGGAAGGCTTACAGTCTTGTAGTACCAACCACTGCTCTTGCAACAAGGGTTCAAGAGACATCATGTGTTCACTGTTCTGCCACTCACCCCTATCCTAGAAGCTGAAAGAGGCTGAGGGTAGAGAAGCGTGAATGAAAACAGAAGAGAACATTAAGGCTTAAAGCCAAACAGCATTGTGATCCAGGAGCAATCCTTAGGGGTAAAAGAGGGATAACTCAGTAAAATATCGGTCACAGGCAATTAAAAGGGGGAGATCCTTCTCCATTTCTTTCTGTCTTGCCTTTTTTCTTTTAGTTTTTGAGATAACATATCCTAAAATCACATTACAATAAAAAAGCTTAATATTTCACTGAATAAGAAGTTTAATAGTAGAAAGCAAAAGGACCCTAGTTTAGTGGGGATATAGACCAAGACTATAAACAATATTTGAATGGGAAAATGACCAATTCACTCATATACAGTAAATTTTAAAGTAATCACAGATCATTAAAACTATAGTAGTATAACATTCCTAACCATTGGTTTGGCAAAGGTATAAAAGTTTTATAAACCATGTTTGCATCAATACTGATATGCACAGATATTTATTAAAGTGGGAGGGAGGAAGAGAATATCAGTATGTTCTTAGAATTGTATCTGCAAATCACATTGAATTCAATTAGTTAAAAGCTAATTAAATTAAGATTTAAAAAAGATTAAAAACATTGAGAAATATGAAGCAAATATGGGTATTTTATCTGAGTAGTAACTATAATTAATTCTCTACTTTTACTATTTGTCTTTGCTTGAAATATTTTCCTAGGTAAAAGTTTATGTTTTAAATTTTTTAAAAATTATTAATTGAAAATTTGAAATAAAATTCGTTACACTTTTAAAATCTAATGTAGTCATAAAATTATGTAAAAGTGGAAATGTATGTCTCTAAAAATGGAAGATTGAGGATTTTATTTCATGTGTAAATTATGACAGAAATTTATATTTGATAAATAAGTGTTTGTTAGAAATGTTAATAAATATTTTGCAAAAATCTTTTATGTCTTATATAAATTGAAAAACCGGTACATACAAAATTGTAAAAATATGTACAAGTGATACATTACTTTCTCTTCCATTTGTCACTTGATGGTCACTTGTGAATTTCATTTGAATTTGCAGAACATGCAGACCCAAATATACATACTTTTCTAATTAAATAAAATGAAATGGAGAGATCATTACATTAACTGGCAGAAATAGCAGGGAAACTTGGGAAGATGGTTATGAGGGCCTCTAATCCTATCATTCCATAAAACATTTATTAAAATTATGCACCATAGACACACCTGTTGCAAGCTCAGCTTTGGAAACTATTATTATTCTCCTGGTAAGAGGGAAGAGTGAATAGGAGTTAGAGTAAGGGGACCTTTTCAGCCTTCAAAAAAGAACATTATTCTCTATTTTAGAAGAGCCCTTGCTATGGCATTGCTATTAAAAAACCACACAAATAAGAATTTGCATGAATTTTTTGTCATGCACTCAGACAGGATTCTCAGTGCAAATATTTTTTATTCCCACAACGGCTTGAATGTCTTTTTCTGCCATGATCACTCACATTCCACAAAGGCCATTACAAATTGTTCTGTCCTTTCTGGAGTTTGGCAACGTTTTACTAAAGGAACACAGAAAGGAAAGTTTGTGTGTTGTGTGTCCTACTGATATTAAAATCAAGTAGTTCGATAGAATTGGAGAGGGAAGGTCACTGACCCAGGATAAGTTGCAAGTACAAGAAGTTCTCTGATTCACGATGGTGAGCACGAAAGGAAATGCTATGCTTCAGCACCAGGACACATGGGAAGGGTTGGAATAGGATTCAAGCCTCCACCCTCCCCCCACCAACAAAATAAAAGCCTCGGGAATTTTGATCACAGGCTCTGTCATAAACCACCTTGCCCCTCCACAACCTTGTCTTGTCGAAATTTTTTATTTTACAGAGAAACTGACAGCAGAGAGGAGAGGTGATGTATTCAGGACGACAATGAAAATTGAAGTTTTGGAGATGGTAGAAGACTAGAAGTGGGAGACAAAGAGAGAGGAAGATGAACAGAAGGCAGAAGAGGAAGATGACAGAAGAAAAGTGTAAAAGAGAATGCCCCTAGCAAACTGGCTAAAAACTGTGACAAAGAGAAGTTCTTTCAGATAGATGAAACACTTTTTTAAAAGTTTGTAGGGATTGGAGCTAAAAGATAAGTTTATGTTCATGTAAAGATGTTTGAAATCCATGCACACAAAGGGTTTTTTAAAAAAAACTCAGGGAATATGCATATTATGAATAAACTCTGCATGGCTTTCAAATTTTTGCATCAACAGAAATTTATCTTTGAATTTGATTTTCCATGAACTTTTTGAAGTCCCCTCCTAGAACTTTAGCCACAGTGTTCACAGCCACATACACCAGTGTTTCTCCAACTTGGCTGCACACCAGAATCACCTGGGGAGTTGTAAAACATGCTGGTGCTGGGGCTGGCACTGTGGCATAGTAGGTAAAGCTTCCTCCTGCAGTGCTGGCATCCCATATGGGTGCTGGTTCCAGTCCCAGCTGTTCCACTTCTGACACAGCTCCCTACTAATGCACCTGGGGAAGCAGTGGAAAATGGCCCAAGTTCTTGGGCCCCTGCACCCACGTGGAAGATCTGGAAGCTCCTGGCTCCTGGCTTCGGATCAGCTCAGCTCCAGCCATTGTGGCCATTTGCGGAGTGAACCAGTGGATGGAAGACCTCTCTCTCTCTCTCTCTCTCTCTCTCTGTGTGTGTGTGTGTGTGTGTGTGTGTCTGCCTAACTCTCCCTTTCAAATAAATAAAATAAATCTTAAAAAAAAATATGCTGGTGTCTGGGTTCCACTCCCAGAGATGTTGATGTAACTGGTCTTGGGTGAGGCCTGGGCATCAGGATGTTTTTAAAATACTCCATGGAGGTTAATTTGAATCTTGACAAGAAGAATCTGTTTTGGGGTGGGGTTAGTCTCTGGTATGTGATTTTGACTCAAGTGCAATGGCTCTTTTAGTCACTCCCCCAAACAATTGAAAGAGGTTTACTAGGGGCAATTCTGACCTGGTCACTTAGAGCAAAGGGGAAAAAAAGCTTTTGGACCTGTAAGTGAAACTGGAGCTTATCTTAAAAAACCAGCTGCAAATAGGCTGCTGGAGACAGCAGGTCAAAATCAGTTAGTTAGAAATGACCACAGAGCTGGACTTTGCTTTATTTTGCTTGGTATTTTCATATTTTTTGATTTACTGACTGGAAGCACTGAAAAGTAGGGAGCTTTGTGATTCTGAGATTGTACTAGAAATTTGCAAGGTGTTACCATCAGAGGAAACCGGACAAAGGTATACAGGATGTCTCTGTGTTTTCATTTAAAGTTTTTAAATGTCTTTTGTGTATCTTTGGAATGTATGCTAATCCACACATCCATGAAAACGTTGTATATTAGTCACCACTAACCTAGGACTATTCCCAGTTGTAAAACAACTAGGCCAGTTTCCTTCCCCAGTCATTGTTCTGACAATGTGAATCAGACATGGATGTTTATGTTTCAGGTTATGTGTATCCCCAAATCCTTCAATCTTCTGATGGTAAACTTCAGTGTAATCTACTGGGGGTAGCAGTCAAAATTTGGCTGTTGTCCAAAACAAAATTATGCTTGCTTTCATGATTTGGCTTTCTATTTCTCCCTCATGACATACAACACACACACACACACACACACACACACACACCACCTTCCCTAATGACACAAACACCAATGCTTGTGAAATTACAACCTAGGAATCAATAAAAAATATTTCAAATTTTCACAATAGAATCGTATCTGAACCATGATTCCCCTTCCTGCACACTTTGTAAGACTTGTTGAGATGATGGTTTTCAGCCCCCTTGGCAAAATAAAAACCAATCATCTGTGTTTCTGTTGTATTGAGGTTTTGATGGGTCTCTATAAATAGGAACAGTATACAAAAAGAAAAATCTACTGGATAGGAAACATGTTGGTAGGGCTGTCTTTGTTTTCTCCCACACAGGAAGTTGGGCCTGCAAAGGATATTCAGAAGGGATTCTCCTATCTTCTCATTTAAGGTTTGTCAAGATCAAACAACAAATCTGAAGAGCTTCTTGCTGATTCAAAACAAATTCCTGTGCATTAAAATTAATGGAAACCTCCTCCCCACCCCTACCACTACATAAATTTTGATCAACCTTCTACACCCACTCATTCAGCACATATTTATTGAGTGCTTACTATGTGCCAGTTACATATTTTTCCATTACTAAAGATGCTATTTATTATTCAAATCATATCCCACAATATCCATCCCTTTTAGAACAAAAGGAAATATTTATTTATAATAAAGTGGAACCATCTGGCCATTTTGGTCTACCAGGGCCAAATGTTTGTTTTTAAAGATAGGTTTCAAACACTTGAAAATCAATAACTATTTCAAGGTTTGTGCTCTGTACCTGACCTCTATTTGCTTCAGGAAGTCCTGGATTAAGTCAAGCCCTGTGACAGCAGGTTAGGAAGAAAAATGAAGATGAGAAGCAAGGGATGGAGTTATGGGCCATGTAAAATAAAGCCAAAAAGAAAGGATAGCTAAAAGTATTACCATCAAGACCACTGAGGTGGCCACAGTGCTTAGTGTGGGAACATCTTTAGGAGCAAAGCATATAGTATATGGTAACTGAGCCCTAAACTTGGTTTAGAAAGACATCTGGTTAACAGCCACTAATTTAGCCACTCTCAACTTCCTCCCACAATAAAAAAAAGTGGAGCTGAGAAAAGAGGAAACTCACAACACACAAAAAATGAGGCTGACATCATATCTTTTAAGGATCTGGAAGGAATCTCATTTACTATAAAGCAAAAGAGCTATATGGAGAAAATCTTTTCTTGAGGTCTATATTAGCCAGAGAATGGGGAAGACTACCCTCTCTTGTGGAATACTTTTTTGATATGTTCAGAACAATGATCTCCACTGCCCTCACAATCCTTCAACATTCATTCAGAAACAGCAAGGTCCAGAACATAACATTGCTAGAGAGTAAAGCAAATAGAAATTACTCCATCTCACAGATGAAACTTTGGGTTGGGTGTTGGCAAGATAGGGCATACAAGTCAGAAACAGCCCATGTGATGACCAGGAACCCAAATTAAGCAACATGGTGATGTTTGTCTTAGTCATTTGATAGGAACAGTATACAGAAAGAACAGTGTATTGGATGAGAAATGTAGTAATGGTATCACCTCTCAATCCCTCCCCCACACCCTCACTATCCTTAGGCCTGACCCATAACTCCCTAGACTCCTGCTTCATATCCAATGCTTGCTGAGAACTAGTTCCTAAAAGTTTAGAAAAATCATTTAAATTTAATTGACTATAAAATTAATACATGCTTATGGAAAAGCATGAAATAATAATTAAGAGTAAAGTAAAAAGTCAAAGTCTATCTTCCCTCCTGCCCTCTTCTACCCTTTTTGAGTACCACCTTTAACATGTTGGTATGTGACCTCCCAGATCTTCTTGATACATGCTTACATATACATGCACACATTTTTTATGTAAGAAAATGACAGCAAAAATTTTCATTCTGAACCTCATTTTGTTATATATTATATCTTGAGGCTGGCTCCACTTTACTACATTTGGATGTACCATATTCTTTTTAATAATAACTTCACAGTGTCCACTGAATTGAGTGTCTTTAACAAAGCCCTTATTAATAGACATTTATGTTGTCTCCATTTTTTGCTCTTGTTAAAATAATGTTACAATGAAGTTCCTTACAGTGCTTTTCTACAAAGGTGTGATGAACACTTGTTTATGTGCAATGAACACTTATTCATATATTATAGCATTTTATAAGTCCTTTAAGTAAGATAGATTCTTTGTAATGGAATATTTCTTGTTCAGATTTTAAGAAGTTGAAATGTAACTTATTTTTAACATGTATTTTTTAGAGAAGGGTTCTATTTTGTCAATTACTTCAAAATACAAAGAAACAAAAGATATTATTACTATACATACAGAGATGCTTACTTGTGAGGCTTGGTCTGAGATTAATGCTAACAACAGAAATGAGACATCGTAGAGTAAAGGGAGAAGAATCTGACCACCTTTCCTTTCTCCCAATTATCTGACTGAGGCCTAGGGTTTAGGAGAGGGTTTAGGTAGACATAGCCAAAGAATTCCTTAATCCCACCAAGAGGATGGGGTGGACTACCTTACAGTCTCATAGAAAGTCCTCACGGTTGAGGATAGGGGTGTGGTTTGCCTTTCTTACAGGGGACATAAAGATATTCAAATCATCATGAAAGGGTATCAACTTCTGATCTAGAAACAAGGTTAGGGTTATGGCTTCTTTGTGTTTATGTGCTGGCCATAGTTACCAATTATACAGCGCATTTAAATGGTTATAGGTTGCTGATGTCATTCAAATTTCAGAAGAACAGGGAATAACAATATTAGAAATGGGTCCTTTTTTGTATTTGCTGGGATAGTAGCCATGGGGAGTGGAAAGCTTGGCATGATGGCTGTGGAGTGTTGAATTATTTGAACTATTCACACTTACTGCTTCTCTGTTGGCAGGTTGCCGGAAGATATCACCATCAGAATGTTCCCACGACAATTCTCCATCTCCTGTTTATCAAAGGGAGAAAAGAAAGAATCATACATACATAGAAGGGAAAACTATCACCCTTGTGACCCAGCAACATTTTTGGTACTATGATCCCAAAGTTTTCAAGATGTTTTAGCTTTGTGGCTGCCCTTCAAGAAAACAACACTGAAAGATTTCTCTGGGTGTGCCTCATTTATCAAAACAACTCTGAAGAAAGTTGTCACTTCCTAAATAGACCATATAGCAATATTGTCCATGATTTGGAAAATGAAAGGGAAAGTAATCCCTTTCCACCTTAATAGATTGCCCTATTGTCACTTTTGCTTACATTATTCCAGTGACAGTTAAGGATATTGTAGTTCTTATTTAACTTGTGTATAAACCACCCTTAAACAAAGAGTTTTTAGGGTTTTGTCTGTCATTATTCGTTAAATTCACCATTACAAATCTGAGAAGTTATGACTAGATATGAAATGTAAGGGAAAACTTGCTATGATTAGAGTGTTTACATAATAAATACCCAACCTCTCTCCTTTACTTTCACCTGCCATACCTTTTTTAGGTTAATATGACTCCATCACTGCTGTCTTCCAGACTAACTGCTTTTAGGAGGCTGATCTACTTTCAGCCTTTAGGGTGACAAACACATAACAGATATGGATATTTCTCAGCTGATTAAAAATAAAAATCAAGAGGATCATTTCCAAGAGTATTACATTGTGTTACCTACAACCAAGCAAGTAGATGGGTAGAACCAGGGTTTAGAGATGTTTACACTACTTTAAATGAGCATCAATTAAATTATATATGTGTGTGTATATATATATGTGTGTATCAGAAGATAAATTTGCTATGTAACCAGAAATTTCATGGAATAATAATATGAAAAGTGTGTATGTATATATGTGTGTATATGTATGTGTGTGTACATATATATATATATAATTTTCCATTCTAATTAATCTCCCAAGTTTCCAAAAACCTACATATATATAGTCACATGTTACTGATTTAAGCATGTATCAGTATTATTTGGGATATTATGCTATGTCATTGGTTTTAGGGCTTAAAAAGGACTGGAAAACTAGTTTAATAGCAATATTAGGATCAGATAGTGCCTTATAACAAAGTATGGCCTTGTCCCTTCATAATTCAAAGATGAGAAAAATGAGGAATTTTGAAGATTTGACTGATCGACAGGACAATCTTTCTAAAAGACCACTTTGATTGTATAATCATGTCATTTTCTGATCAAAACACTCAGTGGATTCCCATCCAAGACTCTCACAATTAGCCCCTACCTCATTTTTATTGAACGTGTGTCTCCCACCCAATTATCTCAGCTACTTTAAAATGGGAACCCTTTGATGTTCTTGCTCTTCATTGAACATGTGACTCCCATCCTCGGTTCCAAGGTTTACTTCCAAGGTTTGCTTCATGTTATTCTTCTTTGAAAAATCACCTTTCCATCTTGCCCTACCTATGGCTATGAAAACCATTTAGGTTTGTTCCCCCTTTCAAAGCCTTCCCCAAACTCATATTTCCAATTGCCTAAAGGACATCCTGTGGGCTGAGAAATGTAGAAGACTTCACACATAACTTTGTCCAACAGCTCCACTTAAGAGATGGAGAAACCAGGACTCAGAGAGGGTAAGTAGCCAGCCACAGCCAAATAATAAGCTTGTGAGAATGAATATTAAAATCCCAGGTTTCAGGACTGGCACTGTGGTGTAGTGGGTAAAGCCACCACCTGCAGTGCCGGCATCCCCTGTGGGTGCCAGTTCGAGTCCCGGCTGCTCCACTTCTCATCCAGCTCTCTGCCATGGCCTGAGAAAGCAGCAGAGGATGGCCCAAGTGCTTCGGCCCCTGCACCCACGTGGGAGACCCAGAAGAAGCTCCTGGCTCCTGGCTTCAAATCAGCGCAGCAGCTCTGGCCGTTGCGGCTATCTGGGGAGTGAACCAGCGGACGGAAGACCTCTCTCTTTGTCTCTACCTCTCTCTAACTCTGTCTTTCAAATAAGTAAAATAAATCTTAAAAAAATAAGCATAGAGTGATGTGGGCAGACTATCTCAACTGAAAGGAATGGCATTTGCAAATGAAGAAAGCTTAGAACAGCAAGTCATAGATTGGAGAGAGCAAGCAGGTGTGGCTTGAGTAGAAACTTCAGATGTGGAAACAGGACTAATGGGGCTGGTGATTACACAGGGGAAAAAGCAGAAGGCAGAAAGGGGAGTGAAAGGGTAAAGAGAGAGTGCGGTAAGTTGTTGAAGTAACTAATTGCTGCATGGAGTTTATGAAAGATTGAAGAATTGATATTTGATCCTGTTACTGGCTTTTCACAGAGGGCTAGCTATGGTAAAAATGACATTTGTCAAAGTTGCTTCTTGTGCTGTAGTGTAGACTACTGGGGAACACTGCAATCTTGGAGGGCAAACGGGAAGGAGCTATAGAAAAATAGGATAGACTATGAGCATCTGCCTAGTCTTAGAGCAGAAGAGTAAGGTCCAGACGGAAGATGTGATCAGGAAGCAGGAAGATAAAGGAGAAGACAGTATAAAATGACTCTGGCTGCAAATCTGGAGGGCTGGGGAGTGGCACGGACAGTGACTGAGTGGAAATCAACTTAGATGGACTTGTCCTGGCTTAGCTGCCAGTGGTGAGTCTGAGCCATATGATAGCAGACCAGAAAGAAGATGAGAAACCAGAAAGAGGTCCACCAGTAAATGGCAAAACGAACTGTAAAATCATTAAAAAAATGTAAAATCCATAGTATGTTGTTTCAAGACTAAATCAAGTAGCCAAAAGAGAAAACAAATCATGAAGGACAAATGACAGAATAGCTCTCTTCAGCGAATGTCCTTTAAAAGTGTAGATTTCACGATTAGCATTGACATGAAAGGTTTACCTAGCATGGCCTTCTGAGAAGTTCAATTTTTTAAATGGGCTTTCATAATGTCAAAGCATTATAGAAGTATACAGTCCCTGTTACAAATGAGATTAAGTGGGTCAATATTAAGCATGGGAGCAGAGTATTAGTACACAACTTCAGATGAATGTGGCACAACCTGTATTTGAAAACCCAAGCACTTCTGGATAGACATGTGTACCTAAATTTGAACCATCTCAGTTCATTAAAAACTACCATAGCCAATCCATTATTTCTGAGTATCTAACTATGTATGTATGTATCTATCTATCTTACACAAATATATATAAACACTAGGAACACCTAGCATTTCCGTTGCCTCTGCAATGTCAAAGTCATCAATGTGGCATTATCTAAGCTTGAATGTTCTATTAAGTAGTTGCCAATGATTTCAACATTTTAGTTATTCTATTAAACTATAAACTGAAGACATCTTAAATGTCAATATTTTGTGTGCTAATAGGTGGTTCTTTAGACCTGGGTAGTTTCTGTCTGGGTAGCTGAAAATAGGTCCTGCATATCTATATCTATATCTATACCTATACCTATATATATATATTTATAATCTCAGATACTATATTTTGGGAAAAAAGTAGACACCAATACCCTAAAAAACATGTTTCTTATCTTTTTGATTCACTGGATAATCTACCTTGAGTGAGATGGAGCCTCTTTCTTTCAGCCAAGGCTTTTTTGTAAAAAATAATGATTCTAATGGAGACAGATGGATTCTAGTTAATTCCGAGAAGCAACAAGATGTAATTTTAACCAATTTTTTAAACCAAAATGAAAAACAACTCTAGTGTACTGTATGTCAAACAATATTCATTTAACCTTAAAAGCCACATGTGTTGTTTATTCAAACCTCAATTATACTCTGAGTGGTACCCTATGGAGCTGGAATGGTTTGGCTTTCTGGTAATGGGAGAAATGAAGAACAAGTATTTGAAAAATGGTCAAAAGCTAGGCTGAAGTTCAGACTGTTTATAACTCCCATGGCTTCCATTAATCTCCAGTTGGCTTGAACAGGTCAGGGAAGCAAGCCCTGTCCTCTCAAAAGGACTGAGTGTACAATGAAATTCTGAAATACCCACAAAGGTAAGTATCAGGCAGCAAAATTATGCCAGCATGAGGCTACTTCCGAACAACACAAGACTTCATAAATAGGGTGGCCAGAGGGCCCAATTTATTTGGGACAATCGAGATTTATGGCTTACTTTTCTAGCAGATATTAATTATCATGACTGCCACTTTTGTTTTCAAAAGTGTTTTGGTTTGGATAGTAAATTATATAGTCTAATTATAAAGCAAATATTAAAAATGAAATGACTCTTTGAGGTGGGATGTACGAGATGAACTTTCAGAGGAATGAAGTGAAATAAGCAGAATCTGAGCAAATAGTGAAAAGATTTTTGAGGGAAAGTAGAAGAGGGCACCAAGAAAAAAAATCCCATTGTGTCAATCCCACCCCGTGTCACCAGGTTCTGTGGTAGGGTATATTTAATTGCCTATATTCAGTACCCAAGCTAGAGATGAAGGAGTAGGTGGAAGCAGATGACCTCAGGAGGCCTCTGCCATACATTTAATTTTACAAATTCTTCAGGGATGGGGACAGTGTGTTGAAATATAAAGGAACTTTTGGCCGGCACTGTGGCTCACTAGGCTAATCCTCCGCCTGCGGCGCCGGCACACCGGGTTCTAGTCTCAGTTGGGGTGCTGGATTCTGTCCTGGTTGCCCCTCTTCCAGGCCAGCTCTCTGCTGTGGCCCGGGAAGGCAGTGGAGGATGGCCCAAGTGCTTGGGCCCTGCACCCCATGGGAGACCAGGAGAAGCACCTGGCTCCTGCCTTCGGATCAGCGCAGTGTACCGGCTGCAGCACGCTGGCTGCAGCGGCCATTGAGGGGTGAACCAATGGAAAAGGAAGACCTTTCTCTCTCTCTCTCTCTCTCTCTCTCTCTCTCTCTCACTGTCTACTCTGCCTGTCAAAAAAAAAAAGTAAGAAATATAAAGGAACTTTTAACAACACTGAAATAAAGATTGTCCATTGACAGACATTTGAGCTCTAATAATGACAAATAGTACTACAAGAAGTCT